TGCTGTGGGGACTCTGGCAGCGTCCAGGACTGGGTGATGCCCTGTTCGCCGCAGAATCCGCCAAGAATGCCGGAGCGAAACTCGCCCCCACGGTCGGAGTGAAGACAACTGACTCGACGACCACGAGTGCCCTCAGTGGCTAGAAGCCACCTGATCAGCGTAGCAGTCACCTCGGACTTCTTCGCAAGAGGGAACACTGTGGTGTACCTGGAGAAGTCGTCGACGACCACCAGAAATTAACGCTCCCTCCCAGACCCCTGCGTCGGGGCAGGGCCCCAGACGTCCAAGTGGAGAGTCTCGAAGGGAGCGGTGGCCGGACGAAGGGAGGAGGAGTGGGGAGTGGCGCGTAAGCGACCGGCGACCCACGGAGAGCAAGGAGGGGCAAGCGAGAGAGGGAGCGACGGGAAGGTGCGTGGGAGACCTGTGACTAGTCCCTGACTGAGCATGCCACAAAGGCGAGGGATCGACGGGTGGCCAAGACGGTGGTGCCACAGGACGGTGCGGTGGGTGAGAGAGCGACAGGAGCAAGACGCAGCGACTGGACTGGACACAGTGACCGGACTGGACACGACTACCTGGCTAGACACAGCAACTGGACTGGGGACCTGGGCCGGAGGGGACGCAACGACCTGAGGGGAGGACGCGACCGGGGAGCGCTCGGTGTGGAGAACGTAGAGACCGGAGCGGGGCTCCCTGGTGAACGTGGCCAGAACCGCACCTGTGGTAGCGTCAGTGCAGACTGCAGTCCGCCCACCCCCCACGAAGGTAACCGTGATCCCCCTGTCCTGGAGGTATCCAACACCCACCAAGTTCCGAGTGAACGAGGGGATGTGGAGGCCACGCAGGACACCAGAGGGGACCACAGGGCACGGGAGGGTGGTGGAGCTACGCGCAACGGCTGGTCCAGAGGTAGGATCAGCCAGAGCCACCGACACAGGTGTGAGAAGTGGCGTAAGGGTCGTGTGGTCGCGGAAGAAACACTGAGACGCGCCCGAGTCCAGCGTGAACGACAGAGAGGCCTCAGCAGGAGGGTCTCCTGACCCAGTCGCTACACAAGCACCTAGAGCAGCAACACAAGCACCTAAGCTAGACAGGCACAAGGCTACACTAGCAGGAGGCAAGCAGGCTAACCTACGAACACGCGAGCACACAGATCCATCAGCACTAAAGTCAGCATCAACATACAAAGCATGCTGACGCGCATCGTCCATGGACAAATCAAAGACATCAATCTTACGGGCTAACAGACGAGACCAGCGAGGTGTGACCGCCAGAGGGCCCCAACGAGCCCGGTAGAGGTCGTCGAGGCGGCGGAAGCACCGCGCGGCAGAGTGGTCGTCGCGACCACAGAGACAGGGGCTACCCGGCCCGGAGACGCACCAGTGGGTGCACGGGCCAGAGTCACGGCGAGGGGGGCGAGGGGCCCAGCTGGAAGTACTGCTGCTGCGGCTGGTGCTCCCAGGGCCTCCCGGACCCCACTGCGGCGGGGGACCCCAGTGCTGCTGCGGACCCCACTGCAGCGGGGGCCCCCACTGGTGGAACTGCTGCTGTCCCTGCTGTGGCAGGTGCTGCTGTGGCTGCTGCTGCTGGGGGGGAACGCCCCCACCGGTCGGGCCACCACCTGTGGGTGGGCCTGTCTGTCCAGTACCTCCTCCAAGGCCCCCTCCCCCTGGTGCACCACCGCCGCCGCCGCCGCCGCCGCCTCCGCCACCACCGCCGCTCCACCTCCACCGCCACCTCCACCTCCGCCTCCACCGCCCCCACCTCCCCCCTTCCCGCCCTTCTTGCCACTCTTGCCCCGTTTCTGCCAGTCTGCGGCAGAAACGGCAGCGGTGTCCTCAGAGACCGACACAGCAGCAGAAGCGCGAGTAGAGGTGAAAGTGGGAAGCTGAGGGGTGGCACACCCCGCAAAGAGACGGGGGGCCACCGCATCAGTGGCGGAGGCAACGGTGAGGAGGCTGCTCTCGATGGTCCCGAGAGCAGTCTGAAGGATGTCTATAGTGAGCTCAGTGGGGTGCTTCTGAAGAAGCGCGTCGCGGGCAGTGGCAAGGCGGTCAGGGAGGCGGGTGACTAACCAGTGCACAGTGAGCCACATGGGGGGGGGAGCAACAAGAAGCTGTGCGTCGGTACAGGCAGCACGGAAACCGGCGTCAAGCGAGCGGAGGTGAGTCACTAGGTCGGAAACAGTCGCAAACGAGCCTAGGTCGGGAAACACAAACGGCATGAGGAGGCGACTGAGGGAGGCAGAGGAGGGGGTGGAGTAGCGGGCAACAATAGCATCCCACACCCCCTGAGCTGTCTCCACCTGGTCAAAGTGGGCGGCCTCAGTCGGGGGGAGAAGCTCCGACAGTGTGAGAGCGGCGGCAGCGTCACGCGAGAGCCACACGTCCCTGGCCAGGACCCGACGATCGTACTCCGCCTGGGCTGTAGGGGTCGGCTCCGGGGCGGTCGGCAGGGCGGCGGGGGACGGGGGGGCCTGTAGGGCACCAGACGCGTGAGCCCACAGAGTGGCGCCGTCCTGTCGCTGGCTGGTGAGGAAGCGCGTGGTCTGGCGCTGCCAGGTGCCGAACTCTATCGGGCGTCCCTCCGCGTCGAAGCGGAGGCGACGGGACTCCATAACGGAAGACATGCTCGAGGCGGCTGGAGCACGGCGGAGGCTGAGCTAAGAACGAGGAGGACGGCTACTGAGGGCGGGAGACGCCAGCTGGAAAGCTACGAGTGAACTGATAGCGGAGGGAGCACACTAGGTGAGGAGGAGAACGGCTAGGAGCTAGGGAGGACCCCGCACTACGACTAGCTACCGGAAGAATGAGCGGCTGCCAGCCGCTGAGGCGAAGGCCAGTGACTGGGAGAATGGTGAGGGCCCGGGAAACAGGGCAGAGGAGGGGTGAGGCCGGCCACGTGCCGAGGGTAGGTGCGGATCTGGCGGGCGAAGGTGCAACCTAGGTGCGCGCGCGCGAAAATGCGGAGGTGCGGAGGTGCAGGGGCGCGACTGGCTCGGGCAGAGGGCCGCGCTAAGGAACGGGCTAGGGGCCGCGGAAGGGGGCGCACTACGGGGCACGCGGAGGGGCGGGCGGAGGGCCGCGCTAAGGGACTCGTGGAGGGCGGGCCGAGGGCGGCGGAGGGCGTGGTGAGGGCCGCGCTAAGGGCGTGGCGAGGGCCGCGCTAAGGGCGTGACGAGGGGCCGCGCTAAGGGCGTGGCGAGGGCCGCGCTAAGGGCGTGGCGAGGGGCCGCGCTAAGGACGCGCTAGGGGCGGGCCGAGGGGCGCGACGGAGGGGCGGGCCGAGGGCCGCACTAAGGGGCGCGAGGGCGCTAGAAACGCGGAGGGCGCGGAGGGCGCTAGGCGCGACGGAGGGCGCGGAGGGCGCTAGGCGCGACGGAGGGCGCGAGGGCGCAGAGCGGAGGGCGCGCCGGCTAGGGCGAGGAGCGAGGATCGATACCTAACGATGATACCATCTCAGAATTAGCATGCAACGGAATGTTTTGGGATTAGGGTTTGCAAGCATACAAATAGGAGTCCTACAAATGTTGTACCCTCTAGAGAGTGCCTCACTGCAGCCTATCATAACATTAACATTTGACATCCTTTACTGTAAAGGGTGGGACACATGAGGATGCAAATCAGTTTCTTCCTTTGGCACCTCTGCGGAAACAGCCACAACACAACCAATTCATGTTCTCAGTTGTGTTTGCGTCTGGCTGGGATGGACAAATGGGAGAGTCACACCTTTCTAAAATATCACACATGCTGTGTGCAATTATGGTAGGCAGGATCCCAGCCCAGCCTGTTATCACAAAAAAACAGTTCATTATCCAGAATCCAAAAAAAAAAAAAAACAAGAGGCGACGAAATCGTCTTAGGGTTGCGAAGCTGTTTTTCACATATCCGGTTTTTATAGACACCTTATCTTCAACCTTGAATGCCTAGGATGTCAAAGTATATGCATGTTACACATGTGTAGGCCGTAGTGGGGTAGCCAATATGGGGTACAGCCCCTTTTAGGGTTTCATACTTGTACCCAACTCTTTCATAGTTCATTCATTCTTGCTGCTAGATTCTGACATGGTTTCAGAGCACTAGGTCCGTAGGACCGTTTTTTTTTTCGGGCCCACCTACCGTTGCGGTTACCGCGCTACCCCTCGTGTTGTCCTGCGCCTGCCTGCCTGCCTGCCTTGCCTTAAGACGTGCTACGCTGCGCGCGCCGTCCTGCAGCCCTCGTGCTGCCTACTGCTGCCCTAGGCCAGAGCGCCGCCCCTGCAGGCCCGTAAGGCCCACGCGCCGCCCCTGCAGACACGTCAGGCCTGCGAGCCGCCCCTGCAGGCCCGTCAGGCCAGAGCGCCGCCCCGCCAGGTTGCTGACGCGCCAGGCCAGGTCGCTGCCCCGCACGTCGCGCCCACAGCCCGCGCGTCGCGCTGCAGCCCCGCGCGTCGCGTCCGCTGCCCGCGCGTCGCGCTGCAGCCCCGCGCCCCGCGGCTGCCCCTGGACGCCGCCGTCGCTCCTGCAGCAGCTGCCGCGGAGCGCCCTGCCACAGTCGCGGCCCCGCCCTGCAGCAGCTGCCGCGGAGCCTTCTGCCGCCGTCGCGGCCCTGCCCTGCAGCAGCTGCCGTGGCTGCCGCGGAGCCTTCTGCCGCGGTCGCGGCCCCGCCCTGCAGCAGCTGCCGCGGAGCCTCCTGCCGCCGTCGCGGCCCTGCCCTGCAGCAGCTGCCGCGGAGCCTTCTGCCGCCGTCACGTCCCCGCCCTGCAGCAGCTGTTGCGGACCTGCCCTACCTCCGACGCGGTCCTGCTCTGCCGCAGCTGTCGCGGCCCCGCCGTCGCCGCCGTCGTGCGCCTGCCCTTCCCGCCACTGGTGAGCACCTGCCTACCTGCCTGCCTGCCTGCCTGCCATGCATGCCTGCCTGCCTGCCTGCCGCGCCTGCCCTGCCCGCGCTACTACTACTGCTAGGCTTCTGGAAGTCCAGAGACAAGGAAACGGCGGTGCATGCTACGAAGGCGCTACCCCTTACTGGATTTCCCTCGCTGTCGGTCTCTCCTGTGTGCCATCTTTTGCCAAGGAAGGAATTAAGCCAAGCGCATATGCACGCCTCTCCGCCTCAGCCGCTCTACACGCTGTCATGTGGCTCGCAGCCGCCCCTCGAGTGGCAAACGTGTGAAAGCACACGTCGCATGGGTAGCGGGGAAGCGGAGGAGGCAGCTCATGGTGTCCCTCATCCGATGCCACTGCCACCTCTACTGACGCCATGGGGGTGTCAAATGGCACCAACTGCCGCGGGGATTCGGTACCCTGCTCACACCCTCCTCCTTGCCACTGCACGACCTGGTCTGCCGCGGCCACCCCTGGCTGCCCTCCCAGATGCTGCATATCATAGTCCCCTGCTGTCATCCCCGGCATCCCTCCTGGCTGCTGCGCACCCTTGGGTGCTACCATCCCCCCCGGTTGGCCCCCTGGATGTTGCACGTCCCGGAGTGCTGTTGTCGCCCCTAACCGTCCCCTCGTCTGTCGCCTGCCCCTGGGTGTTGCTACCTCCCCCGGCTGCCCCCTCTGCACGCCGCAGGGTGTAGCAGCAACCCCCGGCTGCCCCCCTGGCTGCTGCGCAGCCAGAGGTGATGTGACCTGTCCTGGCCGCCCCAGCGTCTGCTGCCTGCCTTGGGATGCAGTGCCTGCCCCCAGCTGCCCCCCCGACTGATGAACGTCGTGGGGTGCCGCTGTCACCCCCAACTGTCCCCCTGCCTGCTGCACGCCCTGGGGTGTTGCTATCACCCCCGGCTGTCCTCCTGCCTGCTGCACACCATGGGGTGTTGCTATCACCACCCCCGGCTGTCCCCCTGCCTGCTGCACACCATGGGGTGTTGCTATCACCCCCGGCTGTCCCCCTGCCTGCTGCACACCATGGGGTGTTGCTATCACCCCCGGCTGTCCCCCTGCCTGCTGCACACCATGGGGTGTTGCTATCACCCCCGGCTGTCCCCCTGCCTGCTGCACACCATGGGGTGTTGCTATCACCCCCGGCTGCCCCCCTGATTGCCGCGCGCCCTGTGGCACGCCCCCCCCTCCCGGCTGTTCCCCAGGCTGCTGCCCGCTTTGGAGTGCCGCTCTCACCCCCGGCTGTCCCCCTGGATGCAAGGCTCCCTCAGGTGGTGCTTAGTATGTGGTTTGTAGGCGTTTGTTCTTTTTGTGCCTTGATTCCAACTTTATTCCGTGATGTTCAAGTGTGTATTTGCTGATTCTTACAGGTCCGTTTTATTTTCCGTTATCTTCAATTCCTGATTGTTTTTATTGGTTTTTTCATTATATATATCTCCCTTTGCCCATTCTATTTCCCATTTCTCTCCTTGTTTTCTCCTCACAGGCTTTGCTGTATCTTTCAAAAAGTCAAGTTTCAGCTGGCATATGAAACAATAACAGTGGTTGATGATCTGTAGGATTATTATATTGTTTTGGTAAATTTCCTTGCATGTTTTTTTGTTTGTTTCCTTCAGATGTTTCTGTGCGGACGTGCGTGGTTGTGTTTGCATATTTGTATGTGTGTGTGCATTCATGTCCATTTACATTTGCATCAACAATGCATGTCTGTGGGTTTTAAAAAGGTGAATCAAGTCTATCATTTCATTAGAAGGTTCATTGGCGCGCCTGTCGGGAGCCTTCTTGAACTGGATTTGATAGAGTTGACCATCTTTTTAGAGTTCACAGATTGTGTTGTTTCATGTGAATGCTGATTGTTCAAATATTATGCTATTGGCTCCTCCCCATGCTAGGCAGGGGATGCGGTAGCATAGTTTTTGGATCGTTAGCTTTCACGCATCTCTATCATATAAAAATATGTATAATGGCTTGTCAGTAATAAGTAAGTAAATATCGCTTATCATATTATATTTTACATAATATATCATATTTTAATATCTCATCATATTATGTGCATATTACAAGGTAATAAATCACAACATAGTAAATCGCAAAAACAACCTAGCTGTCTAAAAAATCACTACCACTACATTAGTATAATTGAACTAGGCATAACCTCTCATTGGTTACAAAACTAACAATTAGTGCATCCATTTTTTTTTCCCCTACTTGTACTCACCTCTTGCCTAGTTCAATCATCCATTCCTAGTTCTATTCTTGACATGTTATCAGAGTTGGAACCGTTCCTACATGGGCCCACCGTTCCGCCTAGTGGTAGCGCCACGCCCTACACAGTAGCCAACGCGCTGGCGCCCCTAGCTCTCACTGTCGCGACCCTTGCAGCCCGTGCGCTGCCCCTGCGACCGCGCTGCCCCTGCAGCAGTGCTCGCCCCTACGACCGTGCTGCCCCTGCAGCCGTGCTCGCCCCTGCTACCGTGCTGCCCCTGCAGCCGCGCCTGCCCCTGTGGCCCGCGCGCTGCCCCTGCAGCCCGTACGTCGCTCCTGCAGCCCGTACGTCGCCCCTGCAGCCCGTTTACGCTGCCCCTGCAGCCCGTTCACGCTGCCCCTGCAGCCCGCGCGCAGACCTACCGAGCCGCGCGTCGCCTCTGCAGCCCGTCCGCGCGGCCCCTGCAGCCCGCGCGTCGCCCCTGGAGCCCGCGCGCCGCCTCGCGGCCCGTTCGCGCCGCCCCTACAGCTCGCGCGCGGACCTGCCGAGCCGCGCGTCGCCTCTGCAGCCCGTCCGCGAGGCCCCTGCAGCCCGCGCGTCGCCCGTGGAGCCCGCGCGCCGCCTCTGCGGCCCGTTCGGGCCGCCCCTACAGCTCGCGCGCGTACCTGCCTCGCGCGTCGCGCTCTGCTGCAGCCCGCGCGTCGCGCCCTAAGGCAGCCCGTCGCGTCGCGCTCTGCTGCCCCTCGCGTCACGCACTGTTGCAGCCTACACCAGCGCCCTGCCCTGCGCGCGCTGGCGCCCTGCCCTGCGCCAGCGCCCTGCCCTGCGCCCGCGCCCTGCCCTGCGCCAGCGCCCTGCCCTGCGCCAGCGCCCTGCTATACCCTAAATATAATTAAATTGTTTATTAAAAAAAAAAAAAGGGCCCTAGGTGCTTCTGCCCTAGGAGCTACTGCCTACTACTGCCCTGCTGTGGCCGCGCGCCGCCCTGCTCTGGCTACACGCCGTCCTGCTCTGGCCGCGCGCCGCCCTGCTGCTCTTAGTGCTGCTGCTGCTACTCGTGCTACTAGGAGTGGTGGAGGTGCTGCTCGGAGTGCAGGAGGTGCTGCTGGCGCTGTAGGAGCTGGAGGTGCTGGACCTACTCCTGACCGTCACTGTCTGTCATGGCCACTTCTGCGGCAGTTGCTGCGGCCAGGGGTGGACAACAGCGGGCACTGCTTCTCCCGGACGACCCCACCCCTCGGCAGCTTCGTGAGTGGGTTATTCAGCGAGGTCGTCCTGGTGGTGGAGGTTATCGTTCTGTTAGGACTGCTGCTCTAGGTGCTAGTGAGTCTGCTGCCGCTCCAGGTGCTAGTGAGTCTGCTGCAGCTCTGATGCCCGAGCGTCTACCGACGCTCTAGGTGCTAGTGCGTCTACTAACACAGGTCCTGCCTCAGATGAGGTCTTGCAAACTTTCACGCTTGACTCAGGCGCGTCACGTTGCTTCTTTCGTGATTGCACCACAGTCACACCACTCACAGCACCTGTCCCAGTCTCACTGGCTGACCCCTCTGGGGGCCCAGTGGTTACGAGAGCCTCCACGGTCCTCCCTTGTCCAGCAATCCCCTCCGGCTCTTTGTCAGGTCTCCACCTCCCCACGTTCTCGACGAACTTGGTGAGCAACGCTGCCATTCAGGATGTCTGGGTTGATACCTTTATTCCTGGAGGGCAGCGTGTGGCGATCTGTACGTGCTCCCGGACTGGCCGTCACCTGGCTACGTTCACTCGACAGCCTGGGTCTAGTCTGTACACACTGACCACTGCGTCTGCACAGGTGGCTGAGTCAGGTCAGGTAGCTGCGTCGAGTCGAGCGTCTGCGTCAGGGCAGTTAGCTGCGTCTTGCTCGTGCAGAGTACTCACGCACGAGACTCAGCGCTGGCACCACCGTCTTGGTCACCCCTCCCTGCAGCGTCTGCGCGGCATGCGCTCCCGGCTCCTGGTCTCTGGCCTCCCTGAGACCCTGCCCCCCCTCCCGCGCTCACTTGCGCCGCCGTGCCTTCCTTGCGTCGAGGGGCGGCAGCGCGCCGCTCCTCACTCCTCCGAGTTTCCTCCGACCACTGCTCCTCTGCAGACTCTCCACCTGGACGTGTGGGGCCCGGCCCCCGTCGGTGGGACGGACCAGAAGCGCTACTTCCTGCTGGTTATTGACGACTACACACGCTACATCACAGTCTTCCCCTTGCGTCGCAAGGCGGACGTCAGCGGTGTTTTGATCCCCTGGATCCGTGCTACTCGTCTCCAGCTACACGAGCGCTTTTTGTAGGACTTCCCAGTCCTGCGTCTGCACTCTGACAGGGGTGGTGAGTTCTTTTCTGGCAGTCCTGCGTCTGCACTCTGACAGGGGTGGTGAGTTCTTTTCTGGCGTCCTTGAGACGTTCTGCCAGGATGAGGGCATCGCCCAGTCGTTCACGCTTCCGGCCTCTCCGCAGCAAAATGGGATCGTTGAGCGTCGCATTGGCCTGATCATGGAGGTTGCTCGTACCCCATGATCCATGCGGCTGCTCCCCATTTCCTGTGGCCGTTTGCGGTCCGATACGCCGCGCATTAGCTCAACCTCTGGCCCCGTGTCTCTGCTCCAGAGACCTCGCCCACACTCCGTTGGACGGGACAGCCTGGTGATGCGTCGTCGTTTCGGGTCTGGGGCGCGCTCTCCCTTGTTCGCGATACCAAAGCGAGCAAGCTCTCTCCTCGCACTCTCCGCTGTGTCTTCCTGGGCTTCCCCACCAACGCTCCACCCTGGCAGTTCTACCACCCTGCCTCGCGTCGTGTTCTGTCCTCTCAGGACGTCACCTTCGACGAGTCGGTCTGTTACTACCGACTTCACCCGCACGCGTCCCACCCGGTCCCCCTTGCACCCCTCTTCCTGGTACCAGTCCCCCCCCCGGTAGACCCCCTCCCCCCACAGGGTCCTGCTCCCTCAGGTGTGTCCCAGGTAGACCCACCCCCCTTGGATGAGCCAGTTGAGATCTCTTATGACTCCTCTGACTCACCTGAGGGGGGTGACGCCGTAGCCGACGACACGGCGACCACTCGCCGCACTCCTCGCTTGGCAACCCCCCCGGGTTTCCCTCCACGGCCGTCTTCGCCGCCTCCGCAGCCTGCTGCTGTGGACTCTGGAGCTGAGACTACTGGAGCTGGGACTGGGGGTGGTGAGTCTGGGGGTGCCCGCTCTCCTCGTCTGGCTACCCCCCCCCGTGTTCCCACCTCTGCCGTCTTCGCCGCCTCTGCAGCCTACTGCTGTGGACACTGGAGCAGAGACTGAGGGTACTGAGCCTGAGGGTGCTGGGACTGAGGGTGCTGAGACTGAGGGTGCTGAGACTGAGGGTGCTGGGACTGAAGGTGCTGAGCCTGAGGGTGCTGACTCTGGGGGTGCTGAGACTTCGGGTGCTGACTCTGGGGGTGCTGCGAGTCCTTCTGGAGGTCCTGGAGCTGGAGGTACTGGAGCTACTAGGCCTGGAGGTCCTACTGGAGGTACTAGAGGTACTACTGGTGCTGGAGGTACTGGAACTGCTGCTGGTGCTGGAGGTGCTGGAGCTGGAGGTACTAGAGGTGCTTCTGGTGCTGGAGGTGCTAGAGCTACCACTACTGGAGGTACTGGAGCTGGACAGCCACCGCAGCCTGCTCTACTTGAGACGCTCTCGCCGCAGGCGATTCGGGCGTGGGTCGTTCTGCGAGGCAGTCCTGGTGGTGGAGGGTACGGTCCTGCTGGTGCTGGAGCTACTAGTCCAGGAGGTGCTACTGGTGCTGGAGGTGCTGGAGGTACTACTGGAGGTACTAGAGGTGCTGCTGGTGCAGGAGGTACTGGAGCTGCTGGTGCTGGGGGTACTGGAGCTGCTGCTGGTGCTGGAGGTACTGGAGCTGCTACTACTGGAGGTGCTGCCGGTGCTGGAGGTACTGGAGCTGGAGGTACTGGAGCTGCTGGTGCTGGAGGTACTACCGTTACTGGAGGTGCTGGAGCTACTGGCACTGGAGGTGCTGGTGCTACAGGTGCTGGAGCTGCGGGAGCTGCTGACCCTGGAGGTGCTGGTGCTGCTGGTGCTGGAGGCGTTGGCGCTGGAGGTACTGGAGGTGCTGGAGCTACTGGTCCTGGAGGTGCTCGTACTGGAGGTGCTGGAGCTGCCGGAGCAGGTGGTGCTGCTGGTGCTGGAGGTGCTGGAGGTGCTACTGGAGCTGCTGGCACGGGAGGTACTGGAGGTACCACTGGTGCTGGAGGCGCTGGAGCTGGAGCTGGAGGCACTGGAGGTGCTGGAGGTACTACTGGTGCTCGAGGTGCTGGCGCTGTCGGAGCTCGTGGTGCTGGAGGTGCTGGTGCTACTGGTGCTGGAGGTGTTGCTGGAGGTACTGGAGGAGCTGCTCGTGCTGGAGGTACGGGAGCTACTGGCGCTCTTCGCCACCTTCTCAGTCTTCCGCCAGGTGCTACTGGCTTCCCTGTGGCAGGTACAACTCCTCCGTTGCTGTGTCCGCCAGCGGACCAGTCACAGCCACCGCTGCTACCACACTCCCCACTGCCTGCTCCTGCTCCTTACACTGCAGTGTCAGAGTCCCTGACTGAGCGTCGAGAGCCTGAGACTCGTGCTTCCACCCCTGAGCGTCGAGAGCCTGAGTCTAGCTTTGACCTTGAGCCTGAGCCTAGAGCTGCTGTCCGTGCTCGTGTTCCTCGTGTTCGTCGTCAGCGTGCTCCGGCTGTCCCCGGCACTCACGATATGACACTCCGTCCTTCCTCTGTTCCTCAGCGTGTTGTACTACCTTTACCTCCTTCGTCCTCTCTGCCTGACGTTGCTGACCCTCCGTCTAACCTTGCTCGTGTGTCCAGTCCGACTGTTACTCGCCTTCTTGCTACGGTTGTGACGGACCCTACGTTCTCGTCTCCTGCTGCGTCTGCCCTAGTAGCTGAGCTCGTTGACTTTGCTGCTGTGTACCGCCTAGACTACCTTGCGAGTCTTGTCTCTGACCCTGTCCCTGCCTGTCCTCCGTCCGTCGGGGGTGAGACTGCTCTTGGCTGTACTGCCCTTGGCTTTGACGTTCTTGAGGACAGACAGGAGGAGCTGGAGTGCCTTGCTGCCGCTTCACCCCATCACGCGACCATGCTGCTTGCCCCTGAGGGAGACCCGGATGCACTTGACATCCCCACCCCGCGCTCCTACAGGGAGGCGATTTCGGGTGAGTACTCCTCTCAGTGGCAGACAGCCATGGACGCAGAGATGGCTTCCTGGAAGTCCACAGGCACCTACGTCGACGAGGTTCCCCCACCTGGGGCGAACATCGTCAGTGGCATGTGGATTTTCAGGGTGAAGCGGCCGCCGGGTTCTCCGCCTGCCTTCAAGGCACGTTACGTTGCTCGAGGCTTCAGTCAGCGTGAGGGGGTCGACTTCTTTCAGACCTTCTCCCCCACCCCGAAGATGACCACTCTTCGGGTGTTGCTACACGTTGCAGCTCAGCGTGACTACGAGCTGCACTGCCTCGACTTCTCGACATCTTTCTTGCAGGGTAGCCTTCACGAGGCCATCTGGTTGCGCCGTCCACAGGGCTTCACTGGGTCGTTTCCAGAGGGTACCCAGTGGAGCCTACGGCGACCAGTGTATGGCCTGCGTCAGGCGCCCCGTGAGTGGCACGACACGCTGAGGACGACACTTGCGGCTCTTGGGTTTGCTCCTTTGACTGCTGACCCGTCGCTGTTTCTACGCACCGACACTACTCTGCCGCCGTTCTACATCCTCGTGTACGTCGACGACTTGGTTTTTGCTACTGCTGACACTGAGACACTGACCCTAGTGAAGGCGAAGCTGCAGGAGAGACACACCTGCACTGACCTGGGTGAGCTGCGGAGCTATCTTGGCTTGCAGATCACCCGGGACAGAGCACGGCGCACCATCACCCTGACTCAGTCACACATGGTGCACCAGGTCCTTCAGCGCTTCCGCTTCACTTGGTCCTCGCCACAGCCCACTCCTCTGTCTACCGGCCACTCGCTCTCAACTCCACCTTTAAATAAATAAAATATGAAAATATGAAAATGTGAAAATGTGAAAAAAAAAACTGGCCAAATCGATCGTACCAAAAAAAAAAAAGTTTTATCAGCCCAGCACAATAAACACAGTAGGTACCAGTGCCCTGGATATCAGCCTTTTTACGCTGATTCATCGTTAGATCAGGCTTTTTATGGAGGGTTAGGCTGAATCCAAAGTTTTTTTTTTTTTTTTATGTACCTTGGCTGATTTTTCAGTGTTTTGCTTTTAACCTTAGCTGATTTTTCAGCCTTTTTGTAGGAGTGCAGGCTGTGCTCTTAGCCTTGTATAGGGGGTGCACACTGAAACCTGCATTACAGGGATTTCGCCAGCCTGGCGAAGTGTAGGAATACATCCTCAATCACGGGCGGGAAATCAAAATTCCCCCCGCGCGGCACCACACAGTCACGTTGGTACGCGCGGTACCACACAGTCGCGTTGGTACAGCAAAACCGTAATCAATTCCGACCAATCGGGGTTGCGCAGCAGTCAGCGTTGGCAAGATTCGTTGCGCAGCAGTCAACGCTGATAGTTCAGCCTAAAAACTATGTGTTGTCTGAATTTTCAGCCTAAGGGTACATTCCGCTGTGGACACTGTCTCAAAGAAAGTGTCCCAATCGTATTTGTGACTAATTGTGACACTCCGAACAGAATATTCGTGACTAATTGTGATACGCCGAAAACAATGTTCGTGGCTAATCGTGATACCTCTTCGTCACTAATTGTGAAACTTCGAACCATAAACAGTGACGACTTTTCCAGATGTCGTAGCATGAGTGGTTGCATATTTCTGTTCATCCTTTCGGCGTATCACAATTAGTCACGAACATTCTGTTCGGAGTGTCACAATTAGTAACAAATACGATTGGGACACTTTCTTTGAGACAGTGTCCACAGCGGAATGTACCCTAAAAATTTGGGCCCACGCTGACTCACAGAGTTTCAACAGGGGTGCACGCCGATCAATCTAGGGGCCTGGTAGGTACATATAATGTCAAGCCTCACATAAATACAGTACACTACCTACCTATCCAGCATCAGAAACGTGCCTGTGCCACCCCAGTAGACTGATCTTAAGGACCACAAAATTACAGTAAAGTTTTCAGCTACTATCTCTAGTCTCTGGCACACTATCACATGTCCTTCCATATGTGATACGGTAGTCCGTGTCAGGATGGGCGGAGATCACTTAGAATAGGATCACATGTCCTTCCAGATGTGATAGTCTGTGTCGGGGTGGGCAGGATCCCACTCTGTATCCGCACATGCAGACAAAATGAGCGTACGGCCTTGCTTGTCCACATTCTCCAGCGCGTGTGCCCTGCCAGCTGGCCCTGTGAAGACTGCCACGTCAGCAGCATCCAGCATCACCTCGGCATATCCGGCTGGCAACGACGGGTTCTCAATCTGCAGTGGCGGGAGGGAAGGGGGAAAGGGAGAGGAAAGGGGAAAAGGGTTGGGAGTGGTGGGGAGGAGGGGAGAACGGGGGAAAGGAGTAAGGGAAGGGATGATCGAAGGGAATAAAAGACTGGGTCCTTGCGCACGGGGTGATGGAGGTGGTGGTGGTGGTGGTGGTGGTGGTGGTGGTGGTGGTGGTGGTGGTGGTGGTGGTGGTGGTGGTGGTGGTGGTGGTGGTGGTGGTGGTGGTGGTGGTGGTGGTGGTGGTGGTGGTGGTGGTGGTGGTGGTGGTGGTGGTGGTGGTGGTGGTGGTGGTGGTGGTGGTGACGGCGACGACAGCAACAAGCATCCCTTGCCATAACCTGGCAGCAGCAATGGGTTATCAGCCTGCAGTGGGGGGAGGAGATGTTGGGTGAGATGCATGGATGTTGGGGGCAAGGGGATGGTGATGGATGGAAGGAGTTTTGAGGTGTGTCAAGAATCAAGGTGATTTTGTGAACAGGAGATGTTGGAAGAGAGGAAGAGGTGACAGCAGGAGGGAAGGAGAGAGCAACAGGGAAAGGGATGGGGAAAGAAGGAATACGTTGTATGTTAGCCGGCCATACAATCTCAGTTTCTTATTTAAAAACAAAACGAGGTATTTTGTCCTGAGAGTTACCAGCTAGGGAAAGGAATACATAGGGAATAGACACACACGGAATAGAAACAACATAGGTTGTTCTGATAGGTTCAATGAAAAATACACACATACCCAGATCTGCACATCAGAATCTGAAGAGAACACAGAGATACTCGGTAGTACGACTTTTAAGACATGTCAAAAGTAGAATACAGACATATAAAGTAGCACGAACAAATTATGATTCCGAATCAGATATGCACGCACCCGGATGCGAGCGTCGGCCCCCCAGATGAGAAAGGACTCGCTCTTGGTGTGGTGGCGGTGGTTTCCTCGCACCTTCCCCGGGCCTATCGTGCCCACATGCACGTCAACACATGACTTGGCACCTGACGGGATGGGATGGGACGGGATGGGATGGGATGGGATGGGATGGGATGGAATGGGATGGGATGGGATGGGATGGGATGGGATGGGATGGGATGGGGTGGGATGGGATGGGATGGGATGGGATGGGGTGGGATGGGATGGGGTGGGATGGGATAAATGTTACACCTGCGTAAAAAAAAACACACAAAAAAACAAAAAAAATCCCACGGCTCCTCCCCTTTCCTCTCCCGTCCTTCTGACCCACCTCCCCCCTTCCCCCCTCTTCCCTCTCTCCCCCCCCACTTCCCCCCTCTTCCCTCTCTCCCCCCCCCTTCCCTCCTCTTCCCTCTCTCCCCCCCCCCCCCCCCCAGCCTATGCTCCGCAGCGGCGTGCATAGGGGAGAGGATCCATCCGTGCACTCTTCCCCACCCCCAGTCCCCTTACCCTGGTCGCTTCCCCAACTTCCTCACTCCCCCTCCTCCCCTCCCACCTCCCCTCCCCCAACTCACCCCCCAGCCCATGCTGTGCAGCGGCGTGCATGGGGGAGAGCATCCATCCGCGCATTCTTCCCCGACCTCCCTTAGCTCCCCCCCCCTCCCCTTTCCCCCTTCCCCCCCACGCCCTACTCACCCCCCAGCCCGTGCGCCGCGGCCATGTGCATGGGGGAGAGGATCCATCCGCGCACGTCGCTGCCCGGCATTCCCCCCGCTAGTCTATTCAGCCGCACCAGGTTCGCCTCCTCCTTCTCCCTCCGCATCTCCGCCTCCCGCGCATCCCCCATTCCGCCTCCCCCCGTTCCGACCGCCCCCGCGTCTCCCCCGCCCGGCTGCTGAATCAAATCGGACGGTCCGCGGCTCGTGGCGTTTGTCGTGGTGTAGACTAGGCATAGGGTGAGGATTAAGAGGACGCAGAGCGCTTGCGCCGCGACGCGGCCATTGTTTCCGAGAAATGCGGAAGGCAGAGAGCTGGGCGCGGCTGAAAAAGCTCCGCGCGGGTGGTGCGAGGCGGACGGCATAGTGCTATGTGCGCAGCGGAATGCGGCTTTGGCGAAATGCAGGCGAGATTTGGGAGGAGTAATGTGGCGAAATACCACTCTTACGGAAAAAGGCACTTTTAGCAATTAGTAAGGCGAGATAGCCGTGCTAACGCTAAATTTCTCAAACGCAGCAGCTGCTAGAAATTTGGGCGGGGATTGCGGGAAGAACTGAGAGGTCAGATGCGCGGAGCAAGGGAAGTGTGAACCAACCAATCCGTGTAACGCTCGTACGGTCGAGTCAGTTTTGTTACGTTACCAGCTGGTCATTGTACATACTTGACGGTTGGGTACGGTATCATGGCAAACCGCTTGTTTGCCCCTCGATGCATGGGGTGGACATCCCAACAACCAGGAACCAGAGGCGCGATTGGGTAGAGGCTTACGAAGAACGGCGGATTCCGTTTCCTGCATGTGTTACGTTCGCAAAAGGGGTGGAAGCTGTCTACAAGAATACCCTAAATGCATAACTTACTGGAGCATATTTCCTAAGCAGGTTTGTTTGGGAAATTGAATCGGAAATGGGATAGCAGAGAATATTAACAGTGGAGGAGATTGGTTCCCTGTGGTACAGAATACATATCACGCTTGTTCATGTGACAACACGACAAGAACCAATAGCTTTGAACTCTGCCTGTTTGTCAACATCCTTCAAGTCCTCTTCTGAAAGAATGACATGATGCTTCCCTGCCCCTTCTTAGGACCCCCTTTCCCAGCAGCAGCCTTCCCACCACCCTTGGCCGCCCCTTTCCCTGCCCCTGCAGCCGCTGTCCCCTTCCCCTGCCCCCCTCCCTTTTCTGCTCCCTTCCCCTGTCCCCCTCCCTTCTCTGCTCCCTTCCCCTGCCCTTTTCCTCCTTTCGTGCTTGCAGCAGAGGCCTTGGCTGAGTGTCTGCCATTGGATAGGGGAAGATAGACAAAATAGCCCCATCAAGACGCATACAATGGCACCTTGAATAACACTTCAGTCAATGACACATACACACAGGATGGATATGATATGATATGATATGATATGATATGATATGATATGATACAAAAGGTAGAGCTAGGGCAAACTGATACAGTAAATGGATAGGAAGACAGAGAGGCTGGCCGAGAGGCAGAGGAGAGAAGGATGACGGGGAAGAGGAAGGAGCAGCTGAGGGTCGTAACAGGGGAGACCATGGGATGACAGATGGAGGGCTTTGAGACGCGTCAGACGAGGAAGGGACGCGAGTTGGACGATTCTTAACCAGGCGATACCTTGACCTCTGCTTCAGCGCATCGGGCTCCTCTAGTGTGCTGCGAGGCTCCCCTCCCCCCATTCCCCCATCCCTATTGACATCCCCTCCCCCCCTCCCTTCCCCAGCATCGCTATTTTCAAAAGCACTTTGATTCGACAGACCAGACTAGACCAGAGAAGTGGCCATACCTTGTGCTCTGCTTCGACGCATCGGGCTCCTCTAGTGTGCTGCGAGGCTCCCCTCCCCCCATCCCTAATGACGTCCCCTTCCCCTCTCCCTTCACCTGCATCGCTATTCTCAAAAGCACCTTGAATGGGCAGACCAGGCTAGACCAGGCCAGACCAGGCCAGACCAGGCCAGACCAGACCAGGCCAGACCAGGCCAGACCAGGCTAGACCAGACCAGACCAGGCCAGACCAGGCCAGACCAGGCCAGACCAGACCAGGCCAGACCAGGCCAGACCAGGCCAGACCAGGCTAGACCAGACCAGACCAGGCCAGACCAGGCCAGACCAGACCAGACCAGACCAGGCCAGACCAGGCCAGACCAGGCCAGACCAGGCCAGACCAGACCAGACCAGACCAGACCAGACCAGACCAGACCAGACCAGACCAGTTGCCATACCTGGTGCTCTGCTTCGGCACAGGCTCCTCTGGTGTGTTGCAATGCTCCCCTGTCTCCATCGCTCCTCCATCCGTATCAATGTCCCCTTCACTTTTCCCTTCCCCCTCCCCTGCACGGTCCACGGCTGCTGCCACCACTTCATTCCCAAACTCGTCCACCTCCACCTGCCGTGTGACTGCATGCATGTGATAGAAACGAGGTGTATAGAGAGGGCTAAATATTGGACCTTTTCTTGAGGCGACTCCAATAAACTCGTCCACCTCCACCTGCCGTGTGACTGCAAAAATCGTGATAAAAGGTGAGCAATCATTGCCATTTAAAGAGGTGTCATAAAAAGGGAGACAGAACATACAGTATGGATGGTGAAGGGGACCGATGGACCTAAGATGAGAACAAGGGAGTACAGAAGGAACGCATGCACACAGAAGCAGCGACTCACCTTCCCTTCCTTGTAGAAAATGTGTCGTGTGACATTGTAACGAAGTGACTTTTGAGTCGACTCAAAAGTCACCCCGATGGACCTAAGATGAGCACAAGGGAGTACAGAAGGAACACAGGCACACAGAAGCAGCGACTCACCTTCCCTTCCTCTGTCGTCGATATCAGTCTTCCACACCATCCGTCTCTCCCCTCCACTCCTCCCCTTCATCCCACCAGCCCCTTTCGGTGTAAGCCTCACTGCACACTCCACCTCTGCCATCTCGTCCTCCTCTTTCACCTCCTTCTCTTTCTTTTCCTCCCCTTCTGACGCGTCCCCCTCTCCCTCTTCCTCCTCCTCTTCCTCCTTCTTCCCCTTCAGAGCTCCACTTAGTCTCCGCTGCTCTTTCTTCTCCTCATCCTTTTCAGCACATCCTTTCCGCCCTTTCTTCATCAGCCGAATTGAGTCCGCACCAAAAGCTCCTCCCTCTGCTGCTTCGTGCTCTCGCTTCACCTTCACCCCCTTCTCTCCCTTCCCCTCCTCAGTAGTGATCGCCCCTTCAGGCCCATCCTGTTTCCCCACACCAGCCTCACTTACAACAGCCTTTCTCCGTTCGTCTCGCCCTCCTCCTCCTCCTCCCTTCACTTCCTCGCCTCTCTCAACCACCTCTTCCTGGCCCCTCGCCTCATCTCCTCTCCGCCCCTTCTTCATCAAACGGATAGAATCAGCTCCAAAGGCTGCTCCCTCCGCACCCTCGTGTTCAATCTTAACCTTCTTGCCACTCCGCCCTCCTCCTTTCAGTTCATCAGGCCTACATCTTCCGTTTTGCCCATCATCCCGCTCATCATCATCAACCGCTTTCCCTCCCTCCTCTTCATCCTGTTGGCTCATTTCAGCCTCTTCTTTCACAAGTGTTTCTCCCTCCCTTCCCTCATCTCCATTCGCTCCCTCTCCTCCCACCTCTCCATCTCCCTCCTTCCCCTCCCTCACATCCTTTTCCACCTCTGCAATTTCATGTCCTTCATCCACGGCCCCAATGTTCATTTCCTCTGCCACCTCTTTTCCCATCCTCACCTCATCCGCCTCCTTCCCCTCCTCTTTCCTCTTCTCATTCCCCTCCTCCTTACCCTCCTCCTCCCCCTCCCTTCCCCCTTTCCCCTCTTCCTCCTCCTCCTCGTCCTCCTCATCCTCCACTGCGAATCGCCGTTTCTTCTTTGCACCCTGCCTTCCCAACCGCCCACCGGCCCCTCTCAAGAACCCCACTCCCTCCTCCTCATCATCATCATCACCACCACCACCACCATTGGCATTGGCAGCACCACCAACACCAAGGATAGCAGTACCGTTGCCACCACCAACAACCACCTCCTCCTTCACACCCTTCCGCTGCCCTTGCACTCTATCAGCCTTCTTCATCTCACCAAACGGAGCTTCTTCAACTGCTTTAGCTTCTCCACCCTTTTCTACCTTCACTTCGCTCTGGGGCTTTGATTTCTTCCACATGCCCATGAGTGTGTTCTTCTTCCCCTTGTCTGCAACACCAACCCCACCAGAAGCACCGCCAGCACTAGAATGCTTGGCCCCTTTATCCTCTCGCCTGCTGGCAGCTGCAGCAGCGGCAGTGGTAGTAGTAGCAGCAGCAGGAGCAGCAGCAACAGGAGGAGGCACAGCTGCCCCCTCCCCACTGTCCTTCAATCTCTTCACATCTGTATTTCCTGACTCGTCTAGTCCTGCAGCCCCTTGCTTCACAGACCCCACGAGCTCTGCCTGCTTCGCATGCCCCTCTTGTTGCCCTGGCTGCTTCCTTCCTTCCCTCTCCTGCCTGATTCCCAAGTGACTCGCCTCTGCTTTCGGATGCTGCCCGTGCTGATCTTTCTTGGCGGCACCAGGAGCACCACCAGCACCAGCAGCAGCAGCAGCAGCAGCAGCAGCAGCAGCACCAGCACCACCAGCACCAGCAGCAGCAGGGGGAGAAGCAGCAGCAGGAGAACGCGAGGGCACGGGGGAGGCAGCGGTGATGTGTGCGGACGGGTGGGGCCGCTTGGACAGGATATCCAGGCAGATGGGTGGGGGCTTGACGGCACTCAGGCTGCAAAGGAGGAGAGGGAGAGAACACAGACGGTGGGGGAAAAAAATGATGGGAGAGGCAGCAGTGATGTGTGCGGACGGGTGGGGCCGCTTGGAAAGCGTTTCCAGGCAGATGGGTTGGGGCTGGACGGCACTCAGACTGCAGGGGGGAGGGGGGGGGGGAGAACACACGGCGGTGGGGGACAGGGGGAGGCGGCA